TAAAAGGGCACTTGACAGCACCGGTGATCGCAAAGCTCCGGGCGGTGACGGTATGCCTGCTGTCTTTTATAAGAAATAAGAAATATTGGAATATTTGCGGTGATGATGTGATCAAAGAAGTAAAACACTTTCTTGATGGAGGCGAGATGCCATAGTCAATGGAATGAAACGGTGGTGGTATTGATTCCAAAAGTGCCGAGACCTGAGAGACTCAAAGATCTTTGCCCTATTAGTCTATGTAATGTGATCTACAAGATAGCCTCGAAGGTCTTGGCAAATCGTCTAAAATTGATCCTCCCTGATATTATTGCCCCAAACCAAAGCGCGTTTGTCCCTGGAAGACTGACTACAGACAATGTATTAATAGCCTATGAAATGTCGCACTATATGCAGCACAAAAGAAAAGGGGCGGTGGGCTATGCAGCTTTGAAGCTTGATATGAGCAAGGCCTATGACCGTGTTGAGTGGAGCCTTTTAGAAAAGATGATGGAGAAGCTAGAATTCCATGAAAGATGGTCCAAAATGATTATGCAGTGCATATCAACTGTGTCATATCGGATCAAAGTGAATGGGGAGCTAACAGATGAAATAATCCCTTCACGGGGGCTATGGCAAGGAGACCCTCTTTCTCCCTATCTCTTTTTGTTACGTGCTGAAGGTTTTTCTACCTTGCTAAATGCTGCAGAAAGTAATGGTGTTCTGGAGGGGGTGTCTATTTACAATAATGCACCGAGCATCACTTATCTTTTGTTCGCTGATGATTCTTTGCTTCTCTTAAAAGTCAATGATGAGAGTGCAAATCATTTGCGGCATGTGCTACAACTTTATGAGGAGTGCTCGGGGCAAACCATCAACAAGGATAAATCACCTATTATGTTCAGCAGGAACACTGGGACTGCAACAAAGGAAAGTTTCATGAGAATTATTAACATTTCCACCGAAGCTAGCTGTGAGAGGTACCTTGGCTTGCCGGTTTATATTGGCGGCTCCAAAAGGAAAATGTTTGAGTATCTCAAAGATCGGGTGTGGAAAAGGATCCAAGGTTGGAAAGAGAAGCTCCTCTCCAAGGCCAGAAAAGAGATATTGATCAAAGCCATTGCACAAGCAATTCCATCTTATGCTATATCATGCTTTGACTTAACCAAGATGTTGTGTGATGATATTAGAAAATTGATCCACAGGTTTTGGTGGGCTCAACAAGACAAGGAGAATAAAATTCATTGGCTATTTAGGAGACCCTTTGTAGCAGAAAGGACAAGGGGGGCTGGGCTATCGAGATCTTCACCTTTTCAATTTAGCCATGCTAGCTAGGCAAGCTTGGAGATTAGTAATGGATCCAAACTCCTTATGTGCAAGACTTTTGATGGCCAAATATTGTCCGGACGGTGATCTTATGAAGGCAAGAGTGGGCCCGAGCATTTCATACACTTGGCGAAGCATTGTGCGTGGGATTCAAGCGCTGAAAGAAGGCATCATTTGGCGCGTGGGCAATGGAGAATCGATCAAAATTTGGGAAGACCCATGGATTTCGAGGGGATTAACACGCCAGCCAATTACTCCCAAAGGTGCAGTAATTCTCTCAAAAGTTTTGGAGCTCATTGACCCAAGCACTGGCTCGTGGGATGTCCAACTATTGAGAGATATCTTCTGGGAGGAGGACGTGAAGGACATCATGGCAATACCGGTGAGATCTGGGCATGAAGATTTGGTTGCATGGCACTATGATGCAAAGGGAGTGTTTTCGGTGAAATCGGCTTACCATGTCCTTGATGATAAGAAGGAATTCTTAGCAGTTCGTCAACGTGGGGACTCATCCGGATCAGATTCAGCGGACTCCAGAAATTTCAAGTGGAAGAAGATCTGGAAGCTACCAATTTTACCAAAGGTTAAGCAATTTGTTTGGAGGCTGGTGCATAATAGTCTGCCTGTAAAGAAGAACATTCAGAGAAGATTGGGTCTGCTCGATACTCTATGTCCGGTCTGCAAGCGCTTTGACGAAGACGGGGGACATTGTTTCCTCAAATGCAAACCTATGCGAATATGTTGGCTAGAGCTGGGTCTTAATTTTCTTAGGAGGAATTGCTTGAGCTACGATCCTCGCGTGAAATGGTAACCAAAATCATCTCACTGGAGGAAAAGACTTGCATACTGGTGCTGAACCTGCTCTGGAAATGGTGGAGTACACGCAATGCAGTGAACGCGGGTGAAAAGATGCTGGCAACCTCAAATATCACATATGCAGTTCGGCAAATAACAAATGAAAGAAGCAGAAAGACCAAGCTGTGTGCAGGGACTGCAGTTCCAATGAGGCAGCGCTAGACACTGCCACCGCAGGATCTTCTGAAGATAAATGTGGATGCAGCTTTTAATCATATAACAAAGATGGGTGCCTGGGGCTTTGTGGCGCGTGATGCAGCTGGAGATGCGGTTCTGGCAGGCACAGGGAAAGTGCCGGACATGCTTGATGCTCTGACGGCCGAAGCCACTGCCTGCTGGACGGCAATCGACATTGCTGCGTCCGTTGGCATTTCAAAAGTGCAGGTAGAGACTGATTCCCTCCTACTTCGAAATGGTGTGCTCACAGATAAGATGGATCAGGCGCCAGCTGGTGTTATCTTTCAGGATATTAGTAGAGTGATTAGAGATCACTTTTTATCTTTTGAATGTTTACATGTTCCTCGTCTGCGCACCAGATAGCCGCTTTAGGCATGAGTTAGTATGTAAGGATGTCGGAGGTCTGGGAGTACCCGATCCCTATCTTTGTACAAAACTTGGTTGCTCGCGAGCTTGCGGAGCTCTCTATCAATTAAAGGCCTGAGAGGCGTGGTATCAAAAAAAAAATGATGTTTCTAATAATATATTGTATGTCATGTTTAGTATAGTGCAGATCGAGTTAATTTTAGGCAGGTAGTTCCATATTGACTTACTCCTAAATGTAAAGAAAATGTTTCATTAACTGAACAAGACTGTGTTCCCATGTTCTTTTCATTTACAAACATTCGTTCTATGTTTCAGTAAATCTTCATGTTCACTCAGACGAGTTGGTGGAATGAGCAGGAAATAACATGACCGAAACAAATAAATTATTTGTGAATATTTATTTCCATTTTTTTTCTAACTGGATCTCATCTACACGCTGTCCAGATTTCATCGTAAATGAGTTAGCTGAGATTTTAGAAGTGTAGTTGATATTGGTGCATGTCCAAATATAACCCAATGTCCATATTCAAATAACTTCTCACCAGGCCAGGAGTACCTTATCTCTATTCAACCTGAATGTAAGGTTCATTTCAGACGTTTGTACAATCAAGTATAATTGTCTAACCATGGATCAGGTCAAAGTGGCTCAATGTCTCTTTACTTTGCAGATATTCATTTAGAGCACCACAGTTCCTATCAATGCATGAGTAGACTTGTGTCAGAGAACTACACTTCACGCCCTTCACTTTTCTCCTATCCACTAAGATAAATTACTCCAATAAACTTAAGCCACGTAACAACATACTCTGATGACGAGAGTCTAACATAGGCGAGGTACGTTAAGTCCTAGAGAAAGAGAAAGCCGATTGGTGTACCCTCTGACCGATACTGCAGATCATCCGGGGCGAGGGCTATACCTATCGGGTACACTCGCGCGTACCCTTTGGAAGGAGTCAGGGCGAGCCCAAACACACCCGCAGCCGCTGCTCGAGGCTCGTCATGACCCCGGACCACCGAGCGACGGCGGCACAAGGCTGACTCCTACCCAGCGCACACCTGGGCCAGTGCCCGGTCGACAACTGACGACGTGAGCCACAGGTCAGGGCCTGGCTGAGCATGCAAAGCCTGACAGGTACGGGAGATGCTGCACTGTCTGCCCATTCAAAGGGCATGTGGCCCTATCTGCCACTCCTTCGGCTGGGTCACGCAACTGGCATAGCATAATAGGACAAAAGGACTTCACCAACTCTAAAGCGCGAAGGGCTCCAGGGTCCACTCGTCAGCCTCTCCAGGTGGGGGCTCCTTGCAGGCCAAGGAAGCCTCGAGAAGGCTCATTCGGGGGAGGCCGCGCCGCAGCAGATAGCCCCCATCCCCCTTCCCCTGGATGAGAGGCTTTCATTTTTTTTTGGTGTAACAAATATGGTGTTCCATATCTAGATTTAACAAAATTTGTTAAAAATAAGATTATAATTTAAGGAGAAACTTTTAAACTGAGTTTATTCCATGGCTACATGCGCCATTTGAGTATTTCCTCGAATTATTTAAAATTCATAGAATGTATTATATTTCCTCTGTCCTAAATTATTAGACGTTTTGATATTTCTAGATTCATAGCTTTTACTATGCATCTAGACATAATATATATTTAGGTGTATAGAAAAAAGATGAATCTAGAAAAATCAAAACGTCTTATAATTTAGAATGGGTAGAGTATTAATTATAGGAGGAGCTGAGGGGGTATGTCACTAGAAAAAAATGAAAATAGGACATTCTGTATACGTCTGTAGTAGCACGTATTAATTGTTGCAGCTATATACGGCTGTAGTATAGCACTTATTAATTGTTACAGATATATACTGCTATACAATATACATACATCCAAAATACCAAAACAGAAGGCATCAGCATGCCCTGTGGTCCCGGGCTCTGCTGACGGACGATAGTCACGATACTCCCCTTCTCCTCGCCTTTTAAACGGCTCCGGCTGGCGCGTTGCCCTCCACTCCACACCAGACACCAAAGCCACCCGACGCTCCGACCCTCTACTTTCCATCCAGAGAGCACGGCTTTAGCTTCAGTTTCGAGCGGCGGCCGGCGCGTGCGAGCGGTCGACGGAGTTGGCTGGTTCAAGGGCGTCGTCGCCAATCGTCGTCATCTCGGACGATGAGGAGAACCCGGTGTCGCCGCCGGTTGCCGCGGTCCTCCCTGATGCCGAGCATGAGTGGCCGTCGACGGCGGACTGGTCCGAAGACGTACGAAGATGTCCCGAGGCCGGATTGGCTCCCCGACGGCTTCGGCATATGGAGGGCTACCTTGAAGACGGCACGTTCCAGGCGACGGTACGTCCATCCGTTACTCATCGACCATGGTCATCATCTCTCTCGTAGCCATAGGCGCCCCGTCGCACCCCTTGTACGTACATGTAACCTTGCGTTTTACGGCGGCCGTCGGCGGGGCAACCTGTATGTGCGCGGGGCTCTGCGCCGCCTCGTGTACTCGTCGACCCGTGCGCCGCTGGCCAGCTTACATATATAGAAAGTTCGAAATGGCCTGGATGCGTGCGAGAGCTAGCTAGGGTTTTACAACAATTCTACTGCATATGTGCATATGCTGTGTTTAGACAATTAAACTTTTACGCTTGCGTGTTCATCCGTATGTATGTATGTATGTATGTATATATATGCAGAACTTCATCTGCCACGTGACCGGCATCAGTTTCGGCACCAAGAATGAGGTGCTCAACTATTGCGGCTCCGGGGGCTTGGAGCGAGCCATCGAAGCAAAGAACACACTCGACGACAAGACCACGCTGCAGGTGATCAGTCATCAAGCATATCTATCTATCTATTCTACAATCGAGGAGAGTTTGACCACACGAGTTCGTTGTAGATGTCCACCTTGCATTGCCTTTGCTGAGATTGGATTCAGACATCTCATCACCGTTGCGGAATGCATGTGTGTGTGCAGGGGAAGTACGCATGGCTCAGGGGCCCGGGGATCACAAGTGGCTGCTCGAGATCAGGGCTGGAGGGGAGAACGGGAGAATTCCGAGAAAGATGTACAAGGTAATAAAATAAAAGGACAAAAAAAAAAGATCCCACAACTAACTAACTTTAACTTCTTGTGATGTACTAAATGATTATTATTGTTAGCTGTATATTTAATTTGTCTCTGTTGGTACTGCATGCATAGTTGGAAAACGTTACTAGTAATTACTACTATATATGTTCGTCCTAGCTAAGCTAGAGCATGCATGAATGTAGTGGTCTAGGATTTTACTGCGGTCAAAGTTACAGCAGGGATATGATCATTCTAGCTAGCTTTATGGGCAAGAGATCTAGATCGATACACATTAGCTGTTGTATTGTATTACAAAATGGAAGCTAGCTAATTAAGAGGTGGAAACTATTGTATGTATATATCTCACATGTATCTTCCGGTTGTTATTGTAAACATGTATAATATCAGAATTGCTCCAATACTCCTTTTTCTTAAATTTTTTTGCACAGATCCCAAAGCAATAGCCCATCTAAGTAATTATTTTCTCTAGGGTCCCGCATTGGCCTGGTCCATCCAACCCAGCCCAAGTCCAACCCTAACGTGTCATTCGAGTTGCCACCGCCGGAACTCGAGCGGTTCATAACGTGCTCCGTGGTGCCCCTCGCCGAGCATTGTGTGATCGGGTACTCAGCGTAAGGCTGTCGGTAGTGCCCATTCCTGATGCCCGCATGCGATTCCTGTGTTTGGTGCTTTTGATCTGGTATTCAATGGTAGTCTCAGCATGGAACACCATGTTGATCGGTCACCAGGTCGATGTTGGTTTCTACTACTAACAATGGTGAATGGGTTAAAGGTAGAATAAACAGCGGTCACACATGATCAGTCTAAGAAACATGACAGGAATTGCTTATGGTTCTGGGAACCACGAGCATCGAACCTTCCGTGATTCAATTGAGATTATAGCCGCCGGCAAATGGGATCGGAATGGGCGACGCCGTTTCACCCAACGAGTAAACGGAGAGACCGAACAAACAGGATCTAGAGAGGTTGGATCAGGACTGGAATCGGGCTGGGTTGGACAGGCCAGGCCCATGTGGGACTCGAAAGGAAATTAATTAATTAAAATGGGTTGCTTTGAGATCTGTGTATTTTTGAAGAGAGGAGTACCGGAGCAGCTCCCGTATAATATATAGGAAATGATGTTACCAGGATTCACGCGCCATGTATTCCCTCTGTCTCAGAAAAAATGATGTTCTAGAAATTTTTAGATAGATTAAGGGTGGATGAAAAAGACGCATGTGCCCTTAATTACTTGAGTTGCATGTACAAGGTAGAGAAAATATATTTCCATTTAATCATGCATGCACGAGATTAACGCGCCGGATTATGCATGCATGAGGTTTGAATCCCAAAACTTTATTCTTTTCGGGACAAATTTTGAATCCAGAACATCATTTTTTTTGGTATGGAGAGAGTAGAAAGGTGTTTACTTCTTCTTTTGTCATTTTGTGTTAGTACTAACTTAGTTAGTAAAGGAGTTTTAGTGAGTAAAAATAAAGCATTTTGTGTTACATGGCCGCTATGCAAAGTAATTAATAAATACTGCCCACTAAGTTAAATATAGGAGTATATATTTTGTTTACAACGACTAGGTATATATATGTAATACAGATTGAGGTAAGTTGCAATTGCATGCAGTTGACCCTAAATTCAGAGTAACAAATATTCATGTTTTCATACATAATTGCGATTGAATGTTATGAAGCTTATATCGGTGAAAGAGCATGGTTTTCTTTTATGTTTTCATATTGTTTGTATACAATATTGTTGACACCAAAATTTGGTAAGCTTTTCCCAGAAAAGAAGAGATCGGCCGATAATGTCGAAAACAAGAAAAATCTCCTAATCAAGGTATATTTACGAGCCGACCAAGGAATATTCTTTAAAATATTTGATACATGACATCACCGGAGGTTCCGAGACATGGGAGCACATCGGTTATGGACAATGGAGTTGGAGTCCAGGATACTTGCTGGTTTCATGCACTTGGGATACGCCATGCTGGGAAGGAGTCCAACATATTCATCAATTGAAAAGGGAACAGGTCTCCAAATTCCATGCATATCACGTTAATTACCTGAATCTTGATGGTGTACGTGCATGAAGGAAAGGGAAATACTATTTTATTTGGGATAAAACATGACGTCCAGATGCAACTCAACGATAAATGGAAGACAGCCAGGATTGAGATCGAGTTTGGTTTGGCCCTCAAAGAATTCCGTCCACAAGAGTCTCCGGCCGTTGGGATGTGCACGTGGAGTTTGTTTGGTACTTGCATGCAAACGGCTTCGCTAATCTCGTCCAGGAAAGGCAAATCATATGCATTTAATATATATGGCCAATACCAGCTCGACCATACAAAGTGTACGTGAACAAAGCAGTATCAAGGCGCAACCATGTATGACGTACTTGGCTTGGAGTACATTTATAGAAAATTGATATGGTTAGTTTAGCTCACGAGATCCCATTAGATTTTGGACTCTTGTACTCAGGAAGGTCCATCCACCCTATAAATATAAAGGGTGATGGCCAATTATAGGACACAATCAATCAATTATAAGTCAATTACTTTTTTCGGCTCCGGCCACCCTTTAAGAGTAGGAGTAGAGTAGATCCCGGCGAGTTCTTCAGCGAGCAGGGCTGCATCGGTCCGGCCGATCTCCGGCTTGTCTGTAAGTACCGTCATGGCTTATACTTCTGTTAGTACGGCTGCATCGATCCGGTCGACCTCTACTGTGACTCTGGTATAAGCTAGTTATCGACTCTTGTCTAGTTCAAGTACGGCTGCATCGATCTGGTCGACCTCCACTGCTCGAACTAGATTAAGGTCAAGTTATCGGCTCTATCTGAGGGTGGCGTCCTTTTGGTAGATTCATTAAGTTACCGATCTTGATGATGTTTTTATCGTCATTAGTTTGCAGCAACATCAATTCGTCCGGTCGAGATCGAATTAGATCGGCCTTATATCCTTTCGGTCCGTCGTTCGCTTTACTCTAACACGATGTTTTCTTACTCTGAGCGACGAATTATACTTTATCGGCTATTTTTACTTCGATCTTGATCGTGCATAGGACACGGTTAAGGCATGAATAATCCTGAAGAGGTTTGTTGGCTAGTTGAATCTGGTTTATGGTTCACCATTATGGCTGTAACGATCCGGCCGATCTCCACCGATGGCGTTGTAGATTGGAAGACGCTAGTTAGTAGATTTGTTTCTGGTTAGGCGTGACCTTAACTGTTTACTATGCCTGCATCGGCTAAATAGCCGATCGCCTGTGCGTTAACGCCTACGGTGTGCGTCCATGATTCTGTTAATCGTGAATAGATCTGTGTACTTTAAAGGTTTGATTCGTTGTCTTTTTCACGGCTGTATCGATCCGGTCGAACCCCACTGTTAGAGATAGCAGGTTGAGTCTGAGGAGTTCGTAGGTTTGTTCATGTGAAATAGTCGATTGTTCACACGATGTAGTCCTTTTCACCTGAACCAGCTATTTTAGTCGATTCATCCGAGCCTTCACGTATTGCATGTCTTTCGGAAAGCCTGTCAAAGTACGGACGTTTTTGCGGATTCTTCGGTTTTAGTTTGTTACTATCATCATAACTGTCATCGATTCGGTCGAACCTCACTATTGGTGGTAACAGATTAGATTCAGAGCATTTGTAGATCCGTTCGTATCAGATAGTCGATTCATTCGTGTGCTATATCTTTTTCTGATTAGGTTCATCGGCTCAACGTTTTACACTTGATAATATCTGTCTAGCTAATGATCTTATTTACATATACGTGTACTGTACATGTCAACTTAAAATCTATCGCTATCTATGAGCTTTACAGTCCGTAACAGCCGATTTCTGTGCGGATCGGCTATTTAGTCGCTTTTCCCGTATGGCTGCTCTCGAAGTGGCACGCTTGAAACTGTTTGGGCACAGACCGACATGTTCCACCTTAAATTACTGATAAATTTTTCTCTCCTTGTCAATTGCAGGGTCAAATTGACTGGCACGTCTCGAGAGGAGTACGCAGGATCGACCATCCCTACGTTGAAGCCAGGCGGATCTCCAGCTCTATCGAGCTGACCCTTCCGGCTTGCTCGTGTGCCCGGCACGAGACATATTTTTCGTGCCGACAAATATATGATGCATTGTTTCTCTTTTCTAGGTTTATGCTCACCCGTCTTCCAAAGTGAGGATTACATCAAAAGCTGAAGTGATGCGCCTCATAGATGAGGGCAAGCTCCCTGATGAATCTACAAATGGAGACTGCAACGACACGAGCAACAAAGATAACGTATGGATTAGCATGCTAAAATATTCTACATTTAAATATATAACATTGTGGCTATATATTATATGCTTTAACATTCTCAAGAACTAACATTCAACATTACATGTAGATCATTGCTCAACTTGATTTCAACGTCTCGTCTCTTCCGCCAGGATGGGTTAAGGAAACTACATTTAAGAAATGCAGTGATGGCATTAGGACAGATAGGGTAAATTAGATTGAACATAGAGCTCACCCATTCCAAAATATCCAGTTGATTTCTGTTTTCTTATCATTCTTTGTTTGATTTTGTAGTACTATACGGATCCTGTGACAAAAAAGGTGTTCCGCTCACTGAAGGCTGCAGAACAATACTTTAAGTATGAAAAAATAATGGATTGTTACAAACCAACCAGGAGTGTCACCGACTTGTACTCCTTTGATGGGTGCGTGCACATGGTAATTTTTCTTCCACTATAATTGTTCTTATCACTCATCCTGTTTTCTTTTTTGGTGGGGTCTTTACTATTTTGTGTCTTGCAAATTTTTACCTTGCTTGTTTGTGTGTATAGTAACAATCTTAACATGCTACAGCCTCTTTGGTTAGCAAGAAGACTGAAAATGGATGGAACAAAAGACCAATGTGAGGAAGAATGCCAGACTTCATGTTGTAAGTATTTCTAGTATTTGCTAAATGCACCTACAGAACTTTTAATGACAAACTTTATTTAGTTATGTCACTTTTGGTATGATATGAGATCCTTATATTATTCTCCTCCTAGAAATGAGTTTAATGATTTATAAATGAAGTATCACCTAAGCCATGATACATCTCCAATCACATTTCCATAAGTAGGAGGAAGGGTGGATCTTACCCTGATGAGGAGGGGACCTAGGGAGCTCGGGTCCTCCCCAACCACCACCACCACATGTGTGTGTGAACACACTTCTTTTTTGTGTTCGCCCGTAAGTAGGAGGGGCACTCATAGGATCTTAAGGGTTAAGAGGCAATGATTTCTTAGCTAGTCATGTTTGGTTTAATTTACCAATTGTTGTCATTAGCTTCCACTATGTTTGTTGGCTACTAGTGAAGTTACTAGGTGCTTGGTTTGAGGAACACGGTGGGTTGGAGTGGTCTCGTCCTATTTTTAGGGATGGTATCTTCTCGTATAATTTTGGTTAGGGGGACGGGGCCATTCATGTTTGTGTTTGGATTGAGATCCCACATGGGACCCACCCATCACCCTCTTTTTTTCTCTTTGTTCTTTTCTTTCCCATCCATTGCTTAGTTCTTACAAATGCCCACACTCAAAACCATTAAGAGGCGACGACGAGGCCCACATTGCCCAATTAAAATGGATAGTGGACAGCAACCGGCTCGTGGCCTCTGTGTAGACACGTCAAACTATGTTTTCCTCTCTTCCTCCCTCAACCTCGATACCTCCATCGCCCTCCCTTCCACTTGGGCTTTGTTTCTGTTGTTACCAGATGGGCGTTGTGGTGTGGCAACACAGCGGTGTGCATCAACGCTTTTGGGCCATAACCGACCCATCATCACCTCGTTGTACTCTCCCTTTCCCTATGCTTATCTCCTTGTCGATCTGACCTAGTATTAGCAAAATCGTCATTGCCCCCGCTCCAATTCAAGCCTTCCTCCCCTCCGTCAGTCAACCATGCCGTTGTAGCATTCCCTTCGGTCAATGTGCTGGATCTGAGATAGAGGATGAGTGCTCAAGTAGCCAGCCTGCACTAGGTACATGTTCATGACTGCTGAGGCACCCTCCTAGCTTTGGTTGATGCCGGGCAGATCTACCTAGTGATGCCTCGGTGCCCTCGCTCAACTGCCCAGTTCTCTACCACTCCGCTCTCCCTCGCACCTGTCAGTCTGACAGGCGATAGGGCCTTCCATACTCCAATGTGAAACGGATCAGGGTTTGTTTGTTTTTTGTTGCTATCGACCTATTTTGAGTCGATGTCGCTGCCCTTCTCCGTGGCGCTGGACCCGTTCTTGCCATCGCAAGCCTTTCTTTTTGGATATGATGCTTACATCTTGTCATCCCTACACTTTGTTAGACCTGAGAAAATTGAGCCCGGCCTGGCCCAAGCCTGCCGTGTTTTGGCCCACCCATGAGCCCTAGTGGACAGGGCCTTGGGTGAGGTCTAACTGCCTAGAAAAAAATCTTGATCCGAGCCCAACCCAAAATATTCCTTTTTATTCGTTTTCTAATAAAAAATAGTAGGCAGCCTGCTTGACCTGACTCACCATGGGACGATGGTGGGTAGGATTTTTTGGCCCGGTCCAAAAAATGCTCAGGTCTACGCTTTGTTAGTGGTGAGGCTCCACCATGCATCAATGGCTAGTGATAATATGTGCTTGTTTAGCACCTCGTCTTACCAGCTTCACAATGTTTTTCCTTTTACCAATACCCTTCATGTATCTCTATGATATGTTTTATTTGATTGAATCATTGTATAACGATAACACTTACTATTGTAAATGTCAATAGTGGGGTGCTCTGCTATACACTTTATTGCCTCCTTATGCTCCGTGAATGACCCATTAGGTCAGACACCGACCATAGAAGAGGTCAAGGATGGGAAAGAAGAGCTCCATGGTGATAGCAAGGAGAAACTTGACGAAGAAGAGTGTCATGGTGATGACAAGATGGAACAAGACAAAGAAGAGGCACTCAATGGTGATGGCAATGAGAAAGAAGATAATGAAGAGATGCCCCATGGTGATGGCAAGGAGGACGAGGATGAACCAGGGGCACTCCGTGGCAGTGACAAGGTGGGAGTGAATGGATAAGGAATGCCCTGTGGTGATGGCGTGGAAGATGGATGGCGCTTTCGTTCACTTACAGAGTTGTACTCGGTACAAATTGAAAAAGGCAACTTTAAGAGAAAGGGAAAAAGAATACACTAGTGTAGAGTGGGAGAAGCGAGAATGTTATCTTGATTTTAGTTACCCATAATTTCGATGTGTTAACTTGAGATTTAGCAATTTGCTCTCATTCATATAATCTTTTTTATTAACTCTGGAAATGTGCTCTATCATTGAATTAAGTAGAAGTAGAGTAACTACAAATCTATTGTCTCGACTTAGGGAAAAATAATCAAATAAAAGGAAATAAACTACATTGCCAATTACGCTAATGATTGTAGAGATTCCGACACAACAATAATCCCCGTGAATAAACTAGGTTGAGGTTGTATTTCCACCTTAGTCATCTCCATTGCAAACGAAGTGCTTGGTTGAAAGTTCTTAGATCCAAAATGTCAAGTCCTCCCGGTGTCTTAGGATGAAAAACACATTTCCATTTGACCAAGCAATGGTCTCCCCATGCCTCTTCTTTTTTCCATAGAAATTTTTGTCATGTTCGATCAATTCTCTTGTCAATAGTGTCATCCTCCCATATCTTGTTTGCAGTTAGCCTTTCCACCCCTATAATTACGTGAGATGCTGACCAAATGACCTTGAAACTAATGGAGTATGTGATCCATATCTAGATTTTCACGCCAAATTCGATAGACCTCTACTTTTTTTAAATATAGTTCTTTAGGCCAATGGCTTCACCATAATTATTAAGGATCTGTTGTAAGTTGTTCAAGTTGTTACTAATGGCTGCAGAAAAGTGCGGCATCATCTACATACAAGGTGGTACAAAAATGCCTGGGGTCTGCCCCAATTTGTGAAAGCAATCATGAGAGGTTGCTTGGTCATCTTAAGGGTGTTCAATCAGGGGCATTGCTAATGCTAAGTAAAAAATGTAGGCGACTAGATCACCATAACCCCCTTTGTTGAATTATGTTCCGCTCTAGTTATGAGTTCGGTCAAGTATTAACAGATGTTTTTGTTATCTCTTTTTTTCCTTTCTTTGAATGAGAATATGTCTATTTTCTTCTTCAAGTTCAATTAAGTGTTTTGCAAGTTATCGGGACAAAAATAGAGGTGGTAAATCCTTTGGATCAAACTAAAACAACCTTCAAACGATAAAGGTTGCAAGTGCAAGAAGTGCTACCTAATACAATATAGTGCAAACATGTCCCAAAAAAATTCCCTGAATGGTTTGGTTTGCTTAACTTTGCATTTCCCTGAAGTGAGATTTAATTTTGAGTCATGAACAAAAAAGGGAAATTTAGGCAGTTTCCACTCCTAGAAATGCTACGTAATACAATATAGTGCAAACACCTCCCAAAAAACATTACATTTACTGTTCTTTTACCTTAGTTTTTCAAAATACATCTTAAGCGTCCTAAAATGGTTGTTCTATCACCACTCCCCTTCCCCGTCCTATTCACTTTTATCCATCCTTGTTTTTTCACTAACCAACAATGGTTCCGCCAGGCATGGGGTTTGCATCATCTGATCATCTCCCTCAAAGTTGAATTATTCCAAGCGCATACACTATATAGGTGGCCATGCACCATGCTACTTCATCCACACAAAGTTGAAAACCCCTTATAACATAGTCTCACCATCGTAATAAGTGCACCATACGTGCATAAATGTGACCTAATGAAGTTTGATTTGAACCCCTACACACTAGCTAATTGAGGCCAATCTTTATCATATATTATGACTATGACTATACAATATGTTTGTGTGTTGCAATAGATTTCAAATCTATTACCACCTAAAAAATCTGAGGAGGTTTCGTCCACAGCAACTTCGTATGCACGCCTGCTATCTCGGCCCCGACCCATGAACGTCCAAGGAGTTAGTTTTTCCTTTTGGAAAGTAATAGAACTTGGCGACCTCGATGTCGAATCAAATCGGAAATCAAACTGGAGCCGGACACCTCTACGAGACCGACCTTTTTAGATTAAACCTGAACCTACTTATACTCCATGAAAAAGATCGTGCAATGCAACGCCCTGTTCACGGAGCATGTTTGCCCTGTTCACGGAGCATGTTTGCCGTCGACGATCTGTTTCCTTATCTCACGCCAGAGTAAATCAAGGCGCAAATTCCTTGCTGGAACTCGTCGGGATCTTGCAGCGTAGCTGCGTCGGCATGGCGCGTCCAGTTCTTCTGATCACAATGACAACCCCACGTGAAGGTGCAGTGCCGTCGTCTTCCCCTGTGGATCAGTGGATGAAGCGGCTACAGGAAGCCCATCGGTTGGTAGACGAGGTCGCCGAGCGGGCCAAGCGGGTTGCCGAGAGGGAGTCCGTGACACCGTCGCTGCCGCGCGAACTGCAGCGCCGGAACCCCGAAATCCAGCACGTACCGTACACATGGCTTCCCTACCACCGGTGGCCATCTACAGTTCTACCCCAGCATTCACCTCGAGCATGGACGCCGCCACGCTGAAGGCGCGTGCGTCGGCGAGGATGCGGGTGATGTTGACGGCCGTGGGCTGGTGGAACTCGGACCGTCGGATGCCATGAGGACGAACCTAGAGTGGACGATGAGGGCGTTCACCGCTAGCACGCTAAGGTTGTACGGCACCGCGGTAATGGCGCTGAGGACGGTTGCATTCGAATCCGGGGACGGTGCCAGCAAGCGGACAACGGCAAGGGAGGCGTCCGCTGTGGTGATATTGACGGCGCCGAGGTTCACGGGGGCGCGGCTGGTATCTGGAACAGCGTGGTCACGAGCTTCACGGAGGTAGGCAAGCGGCGGATGTCGGCGGGGGCAAGGAACTCGAGTAGGACGTGGAAGCGGAGAACGTCGGCGAGGTTGGCGCCCGACACGGCCACGAATGCAAACGACGACAGCCACTGCAGGAGGTTGCCCGTTCGGCACGACAAGTAGCGTCAGGGACGACTGGCCCCCTCCCCTCGGCCCCTTCACCCAGTAATTCTGTCGCCCTATATTTTCCTTTTCCGATGGAAGCAGCATGTGAAATTCCTGGTCCAGTCATAGACCATAGTGGCCAGCCCATGCCCGACGTCGACAAAATTCATGATCCCAGTGCAACACACGAGCATATATCTAATAAAAAATATAAACTCGATCGACTATTCCCTAAGCCTTGAGGATAAAAAAAAATAGAAATGTCAAATAACTTTCTCTGAATGTAGAAAAGGTATGTGCCAAGCCACATATATCCTAATCCTCCCTCCATCATGTGATATAAGGGTTCTAGAGTTTAAAATGCGTACCAAAATATAAGGTACTCTAGGTCCTCAACCATCTTTCTCCTTTATTTTTTGGGCAGGAAATATTAGGATTCCTTTTAAACTTATTAGTGTCATCCAAAACAACCAACATTAATTAAGAAAAATAACAATTGAACTAATTCATCCATTCTAATTAGTGAGGGGCAATATGGTCTTATGATGTCAGGCTCTTTATTTTGTCTAAAAATCGCTTAGATCCCTTATATTACAGGACGGACGGAGTATCATCATACAATGTATGAGGATATTCTATACACATTGATCCCTTCTTTTTCGAGAGTTGTATGTCATTTCATTTAAGAGAGAAAAATGATGCAATGGTGAGGCGAAAGAGGTCCCAACCGAATACGCACGACTTACACACTCGAAAACCTACAAAACACTCACCACAGAGGGAGAACATGACCAATGTGAATAGCTTAATAATTAAAAACGAACTAATTAAGGATGTGTAGCGATCGACCTTAAGAGTAGCCCTCGAAGGTTAGAAGCACCCGTCAAGCACTGTAAACCACACTCATCAGCTACCTTTTGCAAGAGGAAATGTAACTTAGGGGAAACTCGACCACATAGGCATTCCTATGTTCCATACTTCCCAAGTCACCAATATGATTAGGGAGTTCAGCCCCTTGCACATCTCCTTGGTAGTACTTTTTAGGCAAAATTTTCTCCTAAACACTTAAAGTGACCTCCCTTTGCTGGTGAACATCGAAAATGGAGCGATTTGCTGATGAACACTTTGTTGTTGTCAAATTTGCTGTAGGACACCGAACGCGTTAAAATAACCATTTCTGGCTCAGAAGGTGATAGAACAGAGAAATGACGTTTTTTGCCCCTATCTCTTTCTTCTTTCTCTCTCTCTTTCTTCTTCTGCTATGGCGAGGATGCCGGGCTCTGGCGAAATCCCGGCCGGCGGCAGCAAGGCGGCGCTAGGGCTTTCCTGGCCGCTGTCACCCCTCTTGCTGCTCTCCTCGCCCTCCCTTGGAACAGCGCACAGAGCTGGCCACCATTGCTGAGCAGAGGTGCACGTCGAGCAGCAGAGATCCCCGTCACCATTGTCCCTTCCACGCAGCGCCACCCCGGTGGAAACCACTGACTCCACTACACCTCCGACATCTCTCCGTTCCCTTGCTCTCCTCTGCTGGGCCGAATTGGGCCTAGGGACGCCTCACCGCCGGCGTTGACACAGCTGATGCCAGCTGGTCGCGTGGCCAGGCCACGGTGGGCTACGGTCGCGGGCAAATTCCACAGGGCTCCCAGCCGCCGCTGGAAGGCCGCTGGCCGCCGTGCGCGCTAGCGTGGGCCACCGCAGGCTGCCACGGTAGGGCTCCTGCGGGCCGCCACCGGCGGGGTTGTGCCCCTTAGCGGGTGTGCGTGGGCCCAGGCAAGCCCTAGCGCCGCCTTCCTGCTGCCAGCGAGCTTCCGCCGGCCGGGATTTCGCCGGAGCCTGGCATCCTTGCCATAGTAGAAGAAGAAAGGGAGAGAGGAAGAAGGAAGAGACAGGGGTCATTTCGCAGCTGTTCTCTCACTTCCTGAGCCAGAAATGGTTATTTTAATACATTCGGTGTCCTCCAGCAAATTTGACAATAACAAAAGTGTCCCCCAACAAATTCCTTCATTTTCGATGTGCACCGGCAAAGGGAGGTCACTTTTAATGTCTAGGAGCAAATTTTGCCTACTTTTTATAGTGTTTCCCCACCATCTAAACAATGAGTTGCATCAACTGAAGGTGTCATTGCAGCCATTGAATGGTTTCTACAAAAACAAAAATCTAGGCCTGCTAAGTGAACACACAAGAGATTAATGTTTCTTGCCCCACAGAAAGGGCAGCCCGGTTGGTGGGGTAGCTCATGCTTGGCTAAGCAGTCGATTGTCCAACACCAATTAAGGATGGCTAACCAAAGGAAGAACTTGCATTTTAGAGGGGTGAACTCTTCTAAAATCCTTTTCCAAGGACCAGATTTATAGTTCACAAGAAGAAGGCAGTATAGGGCAACTTGCTAATGTAGGTGCTAGATTGTGTAAGCTTCCAACGACGCTGATCAGGGATAACCGATTGCAACACCAAACCATCCACCAAGTCCCAAATGTATATGTACTCGACCATCACTTGTACAGTCAAAACTCTTTTGATACCAGACACCCAAGTTCAGTCTTTAAGAGCCAGAGCTACTGTTGTGATATTGATAATCCTTGAGATCGTCTTGTGCAAGTTAGGGGCTTGTTCTGCTATAGTCCTTCTTCCTTGTAACCATCAGTCATCCCAGAACCTTATCTACTCTCCCTTCCAACTATATAATCCACAGCAACAATGAAGAGAGGTTGAGCATTATGCCGTACAATAGACCATCCCACGGCCATGAAGGGTGTGTCCCTTTGGGATCCCTTCCTTTGAAATCCACCATGCCACAAATTCATGTGAAGCAATTTATGAAAGAGGGTTCTCTAGTATTAAAGAAAATGATAATGACAAATAGTTCATTAACACAAAATCTGGCATTTTTTTGAAGACCCGAAACATGGCCGGCATATATTGAGAAAATTACATGCACAAAAAGGTTGTTGCTGTACTAAAAACTCGATCCGCGGTGGCTAGATAGCCCCCGGGTATTCCGGTTTAACAAGAAGATCTTCTCACGCAGATCGAGAAAACCTATGAACCCCTGCTCACCCATACACAGCGGCACCGCAGCTCCATGAGATGAGCTGGCCATAGACCTGTGCTTTGGACGTGGCGCACAGGAGGGAGTTTTTTTACCTCGCTCAGAGAAAATCCAAGAAAACAACGCGCGGGTGCGCCATAATCCTACAATGCATGAAAGAGACTAATAGACATCATCTTGCTGCTCCTCCTGGCTTCAGGCGACTTCCATCTCTGTTGCTAATCCTTCTTTCAAAATCTGGCATAATAAGTGGCTTATCTTTGCAACCTTGTGACATCAGTTATGCTTATGCGGCAAAAATTCAGGACATGGAACGAGAAAATCCGGCTACTAATTTGTTTACTCATGTGTCGAACATGCATGCAACTGTATGACTCGTGGACCCACACATGATAATTGTAGAGGGCCAATCCATTGGACTAGTGCACGAGATGTTGTTGACATCAGCAATTGTTATTGAAAGTGGCAGTCTTGTTTTTTTTTTGTCATATGTATGAGAAAAGCAAAATACATACTTAGTAGAAGAGCTAACTTATAGCATATTTTATACAGTAGAAAGGAAAGAGAACGATGAAAAACAACTAGATAGCACTTTATGAAAAGCTAAACTCGTATACTTGATTCATTTGTTGTTTATGCTCACATGATTTTTCATGCTAATATATTAAGCCGCTCTATGTTTATTTTTTATAGCATTGTTAAGTCTATTGGAAACACCCTTAGGCAGATGTGACATATCGTTGGGTGTAAACACGAGATAGATGTGGCATATCATTGAGCGTAAACAGGCAGGCTGATATTCAAACTATCAAAGTGGTAGTACTCAGCTCCAGTAACAGGAATTGATGTTTTGCAGTCGAATCTTGCTAACTAATTTATGTTTCCATGTCAATCAAAAGGTAAGAAGGCTAAGACTAGTAAGAAGGCAAAAGGCAAAGCAGCATCAGGGACCCTAGGCGCCAGCAAGACACGAAAAACAAGAGGAAGGCCTTAAGCAAAAGAGATCAACACCAGCTTGATCATGAGCATTGAGCAGTACTTCATCTGTGTGTTTGTCTAAAAGCTGATCGATCCGAGGAGCGTTGAACTCTCGCGGACATGTTGCTTGTCCTGTATTTTCCCAAAGTCTTGTGGTTACCTGGTTGCAATTAATTTCCAGACTCGTATGGTTGCATTTGGTTTTTCTTGTCCTCATGTTACACAGTCTTTGGTGGCAGTTGTTTAGGTGATCCAATGCTGCTGTACATGTGAGACTGTAATTATGTTGCTGTTTGGAAATGTTAGTGTTGTAAACCCATTTCATAGTTACAACTTTGTTTGAAGATGATGATAGTTCTGCGGGCCATGCATGCCCGGTGAGGTGCACAAACCAAACAACAACTCTGAATATATAGTTATCGCAGTGCTGGGAATTACATGCAAACATTCAGTTCATGACAAAGCATATATAGGGTCGCATAACAACAATACTAATTCTTCAGTAGATTATCATCTTGCTCGATGTGTGCATTCAAGGCAGATCAACTCCAGACGCTGTCATCAGGGCGTCGAGTTTCCTGTAGAAGAGTAGCATTGCATCCATTGTGAGTTTGTGATATAGTTCAGGCGGATAGCATGGCTTGACTGTTACAGCGTCAAGGATGTTGCAAGGCACATTTATTTAGTGATATACCGCTGCTGGAGTGAAGGTGAGTGCAAGCTTGATCTCTCCGCAGTATTTCTCCTCCTTGACGACCGGATGAACTGCCGGAGGAAGGCTGCCTTCCTGAAACACAGCCTCCAGGGGGATGCTGAACGAAAGAAGTTCAGAAGAACAGGTGCACAAATTAAAGGCTAATCAGGCTTTAGTTAGAGCGACAAAACCATGCAATATATAACTGAAAGTTCAGAGAGAGGCATCCTGGTCTTCTGAACTTGGCGCAGAAAGAACATAGATTTCACAAGCTGAACGTAGTGTTGCAATAATTCTGCGCAGAAGTAAATTGCAGGGTATGGTGTGTTGGATAAGGATAATTACGTTGCTTCACCAACGAAATCATCGTTAGTGAGATCGCTGTCCATGATCTTGAGATGGAGCTGTGGGGTATCGTCAGAGACGGTGAAGATGAAGGTCTCGTTCCATTCAGGCTCGCTTCCTGCTCCTGAATTACCGATAGTAAAAAGATGGACAGTGAGATCGATTGGCACGGAGTGCCCTCCATCGATAGCAGATACACGGACACAATGAAGAAATGGGGATTCTTGTGGATGAATGGTAAAAGAAAAGTACTCCAATACGTACCATTTGCGACACTGCTTTTCTGCTCCTGGGTGCGGCATGTAAGGATCACGAAGGGGTCCATGTTATCTGACGATCATTTGCACAAGCACAAAGAAAAGGCATAAAAAGATACAAGGCTTAGTACCGCACCGACAAGGATCAAGAAACTGCTACAGTAACATATACTGAACTTTTTCTTCAGTGCAGCATACAGCAAGTACACTAGAGTCAGAAGATCGCACGCATCGAGCCATCGATCAGTACGAGACTGATGCATATGCTTTTGAGGATACAGGCAGGTTAGTCAGTACATGAAAATCCAGAGCTTGTTTCGGTTTGCTCATGGTGACAACTACGGAGCTAGAGCGATGACAACTACGGAGCAGCAGGGATGATCACTGAACAGTGAACACAACGGTTAGTCATGGCATCTGCTGCGCTGCGTGGCTCGCAGATCTACCTCAACCGGTGACGAAGCGTGACGCAGCAACGGAGACATCACACATTCACGCGTAACACGTACGGCTCACAGAGCAGAGCAGCAAGCGACCAAGACAGAGAGGAACTTTTGCGACCAGGGAAGGAGATCGGCCGGAGGAAGCTATGAGAGAGGGGAGGAGAGGTTTACTGAGGAAATCGGTGTCCTCGAGGCCCTTGGCGGAGACGAGAAGGACCTCCAGCTTCCCGTGCACCATGTTTGCCGCCGGTGCTTGTACTCCTCCTCGATCGCCGGCCGGCTGCGGTTTCTTGATGCGTTGCAGTTGCAGAGGGAGATATTCATAGGGTCAGAGACGACGGCACTTTCCCCTATATATGGAGAGAAAAGTCATGGCACATACTGTAATAATAATGGGGAGGAGCCATGCTGTCGCCGCCCGGCCGGCCCCAGCTTGGATCAATCATGCCTGCCAGTCTGCATCACACATGTGATTTTGATTGTGATGGTGATCTACTACGAGCCATGGTTGGTAAATCTTGAAAAAAAAAGATGGAAGGTAAGGATCATTAGTTGTTGCCAATTGCACACGTCTAGCAGTAGCTGTTAGTAGATTTATCCATTGACCAATATATGATGAAATGAATTGATGATGGCGGCTTTCTTCTCTTGCTCTCGTTGTCTGCTCTGCCGTGGAATGGAAAAGAAAATACTCCAACTACTCAGCAGCATGTCCTCGGGCAGGCAGCTTGCTTGGTTTGAGCTGGACTGGTACTGTGGCACATGACAACATGCCCGCATCCGGATGTATGCATGCACCCAGCTGCCATAGTGGCATAGTGCCTTACAAGTTCCTTCAGATCGCGGGAATAACGCAAGGTTTGATTGCTTGCTTGCTTGCATGTTCTTTCAATGATTTTAGTATTTACTACTAACTGTTTTTAGATGAATTTAACTTAGTAGCATCCAGGGTTTTTTCTAGGATTGGCTTCATTTTTATATATAAAAAGAAAAAGAAAAAGAAAAACAAGATTAAGGGGACTTGGGTATTTTTCTAGAACTTGCTGGGATCGATTTTGTTTGTTTCATCAGGCAAGGCAGAGGGGGTCATAGGGTCCGACCATCGGACGCTAACGCTGCGCCGATTGTTTCCCGCCGGCTCACGCCGCGCCGATTTCCGCCCGCGCATGCAGCGCCCGCGTTCCCGCCAGCAGATGAGGGCCTACCTCACTGTTCTACGCATGCACAACCTAAACAAAAAATCATAACTGCTAAACGGAACATCGAAATTAAATTCAGATTGCACCAACGAGTTTTTTTTGTAATAAATTCTTCAAAATAAGATCCCACATAAATATATTTAAATAAGTTTTTATTAACGAACATTTATCTTATGAAGATAGAACATTATTGAGCAGAGACGATGTTCTAGGTTTAGAGAATAATGTTCCGTCCTCAACAAAAAAAAATATTCTTAGTTTAGAAGAACATTATTCTAGTTTTAGGTTCATAATAATATGATATAAAAATAAATAAATAAATACATAACATAAATAAATAATAATAATAAAATCTAGAGCAAAGCATAAGAAAAAAAATGTATTAGAGAAAAAATTAAAAAGAATATGACATGGATATTTTTCAAACATCCTAAAATAGAATATAAAATATCACATGTATGCTAAGTGAACAACATTAAATACGCCAAAGAACATCGTAGATATATTACATGAACATCATATGTATATTACGCGAACATCGCAAAATATAACAATATAGAACATCACATGTATACTATGAGAACATCACATGTATACTGTGTGAACATAAAAAAAAACTTTATAGAACATCACATGTATACTACGAGAACATCACATGTATATTATGCGAACATCGCAAAATACAACATAGAACATTACATGCATACCACGTGAACATAAAAAACATCACAGAACATTACATGAATAACACGTGAACATAAAACACATAGAACATCACATGTATACACATAAATATAAAAAACATAGAACATCATAGAAAATAAAAAAAAGAAAAGAAATTTAAAAAATATAAAAAATGAAAATAATAATAAACACATAAAACATAAAAAGAAAATAAAAAATTGAATGATGCAAAAAAAATTAAAAAGAAAAAAAGGAAAAATTAAAGAAAGATTAAAATATAAAAAACATGAATCAAAGAGAAACATAATTAGAAAAAGAAAAGAAAAAAATAAATCAGAAGAAAAAAGAAAAGAATAGATAAAAATATAACATCACATGTACAACACATCTACAACACGAACATCTAAAAATAAGAAAAGGGAAAAAGAAAAAAAACAAAAGAAACATAAATATAAAAAATATAAAAAATCACATAAAATAAAAAAGAAATAAAAAAGAAAATGAAGCACGAAAAGAAAGAAAAAAGAAAAGAAATAAGAGAAGAATAAGGTAAAGAAAAAAAAGGAACGAACGTACCTGGCCACCTGGGCTCCCGCGTTCCCGCGCCGCAGATTCCCGCGAGCTTTTCCCGCGCTCCGCTCGGCAGACGGCTCCGGTCCGAATGTTGGGACCGGAAGATTTCCGGGCAGAGCTGTGTTGCACAGCACAGCACAGCTGCACAGGACTAGGAGTACACGATGCTCAAAAAAAAAGGGGGACTAGGAGTGCACAAGCTTGGGCGATTGCACGGGCCAGGCCCATACTGCAAAACCATATGATGGGCCAGATGCGATTCTCTGGTGCCTTGCGCTGTCTGGGAAGGTCACTCACTCACTCACTCACACCCCCCACGGAGACCCAACAAAGGCAACAAGGATGGAAAACGGAGTAGCCAATCCTGGACAAGGTGGAGGAAGAAGAGTACTCCACTACTCTACTCTTATTTGAAATTCCTTTCCATTCCCATCTGGATCTGGCCATCTCCTGTGTTGCTTGGGCGTGGAAGCCACGGCTCGAAGCAGCGTCGTGCCGTGCAATCAGCTCACCTGCCTAACCCCGGCAACCGCGAAGCGAGCGTTGACGTCACCGGTGCCGTCCCCTTCACAAACTAACCCACCCACTTGAATCACGTCACATCATATAAAATTCGCATGCATTTTGAGGAAATTTATCCATATACGTGCTAATGGCATCACATTTCTGTAAAGCAGCGGGCCCAAACGGGCGGCATAGGGTGGTGTGTTGACGTGCCCGTGCAAATTCGGCAAGAAAAAATCCATTTTATCTTTCTGAACTATCCTTGAAGTTTAGCTTTTCTCTCCGAACTAGAAAACCGGGTAAACCACCTCCCTCAACTTTTAAAATCGTTCATTTTAGCTCCCTGACCTGATTATAGGTGTTTTTTCAAAGGTGGTTTTGCCTTTTTTTTTTTTTATTTATTTTGGCTAAATATTTTAAAAAATATAGTAAATCATATAAAATCATAAAATGAAAAATCCAATTTTTTTGACTCCATACGAATAGATCTACACAGTAAACATATAATATGGTTTGCTTTAGTACGAAGTTTTTGCTGCAGCTTTAGATTTATGCTTTTCTGTAATTACTTCATAGCTGTAGTTTCTATGGTTCAATTGTGGTAAAATTTTTATGATGGTTTAATTACGGTATGTTTTAACTGTAGTAAAAATTTCATACTCGTTTATATTTTTACACACTTTTAACTATTTTTAAACTATTTAACAAGCATAAAAGTAAATAAATCTATAACTCAGTTATACATGATCCAATGAGCATGAAATATTTGCTACAGTTCAATCATATAATAATTACCACACTATAAAAATTTCACCATAAGTGGACCATAAAAACTGAAGTTTTGAATTAATTATAAAAAAACATATATCTAAAGCTACAGCAAAAACTTTATACTAAATCGTACTATATTATATATTCATTGTGTAGATCTACTCATGTGGAGTCCAAAAAACGAATTTTTCATTTTATGATTTTTGTATAATTTACTATGATTTTTCAAAAATTTAGTCAAAATAAATAAAAAAGAAAAAGATAAAACCGTGTCTGAAAACCGGATCAGGGAGGTAAAATAAACGATTTTAAAAGTTGAGACGGGGGTTTATCTGGTTTTAGAGTTTAGAAAGAAAAACTAGACTTTCAGGGTAGTTCGTACAGTAAAATGGACTTTTATTTTCAATTCGGCACTCGCACGCACGATGCATCCACCACTCGCGCTCGCGGTCGCGGTCGCGGTCGCAGTCCGAGGGATTCCCATGACACGTGGGCCCTGATGAGGGCCCATACCATGAGACAAGCCCACCAACTCTAGAAATTCCTCTGGTCTTGCAAAGCCCAGCTCGATACGCCCGTACCTCTCCGTCCCCCTCTCCCTTGTTCCTCTTCCGCCTCCGACTCCGCCACGCCACCTCCCCTCCTCTTCCCCTCCCAGGCTCCGACCCCCTTCCCTCCCGCCGTGTGCCCCGATCCCTCGCCGCTTGCGCGCCCCACGCCGACCTCATCTCGCCGAGGACTGGATCGTCGCAGGGTAAGCAAGCAGACCCCTCCCTCTCTCTCTCTCTCTCTCGCCGCTCCCCCTGTTCCCGCGGCCGCCATATGCTCTCCTTGTGTGTACTATACTACTAAATTGCCCGCCGCGCCTTGCCCAACTTCCTACGGTACTGCTGCGGAGTTCCTGTTGAATCTGGTATTGCTTCGATCCTGTGCTCTCCGCTGACCTAGTCGAGCACGGCGCTTGCCCGCGGGGTTGCTTCTAGCCCGTGTCGCCGCCAACCCCAATTGCAAGTTTTCTGTCGATGCTGCTAGCGTGTAATTACGAATTACGCCTTGGTGTTGCCAGATTACTATGAACTAAGCTCCTCGCCATGTTTGGTGCTACTGCTATTATGTCTTAGACTTTACATTAGCTCTAAGCAAATTCAGTGTAGGGTCTGAAGAACCTACGATTTACACAGCTGATTCGTTGCTTTCCTAGGACATCGTGGGTGTTCTTCACACACATGCGGCGTTAGGTTATGTGATGACGAGCTTGCCTGAGAGGGAAGAAGCACCTGCACCTCCACCAGATTCACCACGCGAGGACACCGCCACCGCTGCCGCCCCAGCCTCTTCCTCCTCTGGCTCTGAGCACAAGGACGACAGCGGCTCCAGGCAGCCCAAGGCCTCCATCCTGTCCGGTGTCTTCACGCCCTCTTTTGCCATATACGAGGGGCAGCAGCAGGACTCATCGTCGTCGCCGGCGTGCGACACCAGGTCAACAAAGTCATCCTCAGGGTCCTATGGTTGGTCCAGGATTCTGAGGAGATTTGTGGGCAGCAGCTCGATGTGGCGTCTTCTGGGGTGCGCCAGGGTTCTGACCTCAAGTGACGTGTGGTTCCTTGGTAAATGCTACAAGGTGTCGCCTGAGGAAGAGGAGTCTGGTGACTCGGAGTCTGACAGCGGGCATGCTGCGTTTCTGGAAGATTTCTCTTCCAGGATATGGATCACTTACCGGAAAGGTTAGGCTTTTCAGGACTACGTTTGTGGTGAAAACTTAATTTCGTGTGCACAGGTGGCTAGATATTGACATGTTTATTGTCCCAGGCTTTGATGCAATATCTGACTCCAAGCTGACTAGTGATGTGAACTGGGGATGCATGGTTAGAAGCAGTCAGATGCTGGTTGCTCAGGTAAACTTTGTCCCTTTCAAAGTGTCCCTTCATTGACCAGGATGGTCACTGTCACTTCAATTGTAAGCTGTAACTGACAAGCTATATGGCAAAATTTTGCAGGCACTGATTTTTCACCATCTTGGAAGATCTTGGAGAAAGCCCCCAGAGAAGGTGAGAGATATATGAATTGATTATTCTGGTCTGTATTAGAGGTTCACCTATGCAAAGAAAAATGAGGAACTTCTGCTCAATTATAGTAGGTGATGGAGCTCCTTTAATTCTTAATGTAGGGTTGCTTATAATGACCAAATGTTCATATGCAGCCATACAACCCAGATTATATAGGGGTCTTACACCTATTTGGTGATTCTGAAGCTTGTGCTTTCTCTATTCACAATTTACTTCAAGCTGGAAGGAATTATGGTCTGGCTGCTGGATCATGGGTGGGTCCATATGCTATGTGCCGGGCATGGCAGACCCTTATCCGCACAAATAGAGAGCAAGCTGATGCTGTTGATGGGAAGGAAAATTTCCCTATGGCGCTTTATGTGGTTTCGGGTGATGAAGATGGTGAAAGAGGTGGAGCTCCAGTTGTTTGCATTGATGTTGCTGCTCAGCTTTGCTCTGATTTCAACAAAGGACATTCTACATGGTCACCTATTCTTTTGTTAGTTCCTTTGGTTCTTGGCCTTGACAAAATTAATCCAAGGTAATTAGCCAAATTTCCATCCTTTGGGGGCTGCATAAGGATCCAGGCTAGGCTATTTGAATTTAAGAGTCATCCTAAGTTAGGCTTACCTACCTATACACTACAAAACTTAAGGACAGTGACGTTCCTGGGACCGATTTTGTAAAAATGGCTAATATTGTGATATTGTAGTCCAGCATGATGGGTTATTATGGGCGCATTTGCGACCCTGTACCTGGCCGGCCTGGCCAGCCCACTGGCCCAAGCCTGGGTAGGCCTGCCCCAAGTGGTGCAACAGCTCTTGTTTGCGCCTGTGTACCCAATGAGCCCGGCTCAGGCGAGGCTGTGTTTGTCATCGAAGAGGCAGCTGGGCTGAGAGGCTAACCGCCACCCCGCCGCCGCCCGAAATCGCCCGCGAGCGCCGCGCGCAGCCGAGCTCGCCAGAAACGAACCCTAGCGGCGTTTCTCCAGGGCCAGGCGGCGGCGGCGTATTTGACTCCTGGGAGCCAGGCTCGCTCGCGGGCCAAGGCCGCAAACACGGGAGCCTGCAGCCCACGAGCGCAAGGCCGGCCTGGGCCACCCTCGCAAACGCACGCTATATAGATGGTTATTCTAAAGATACAAACCAATCTTAAATCCATGCAGCCATCATGGCAATGAAGAAAGATACCCTCTAATAATTGATGTTTCTGTTGATGCATTGATATGTAATTAACTACTACCTGTTTCCTTTCTATCAGGTACATCCCATTACTAAAGGAGACGTTTACGTTCCCGCAAAGCTTGGGCATTTTAGGTGGAAAACCTGGAACATCAACATACATTGCTGGGGTACAGGATGATAGGGCCCTCTACCTAGATCCCCATGATGTTCAGATGGTAAACCTGCATACATTTTATATTTACTTAGCAAGCAGATGCATCTATTTCAGAAATGCTGTAGTTTTCTACCTTCTAACTTAAGTTAAGCACCATACTTTAAGAAGTGTCAAATTCAAAACAGTATGTTCATTCATGTATGTGAATGCCATTAGTAGTTATCTTAGATCATGGATATAATTTGGCACCTTTCAAGTTTCAAGTTTGAACTGAGTTTCATTCTCTCATTCAAAGACAACAGTGGCATGTCTATCTTCAACAATTCCCATTCCATAGACCACTAGAATCTGATTATTTCTGTTGGAGTAAAGTGTATTGTGTGTCCCTAAAATTTGTTAGGTTGTGCCAATGGGTTCCCTGAACTTGGCAGCTGAAGATTTAGGTCAAGGCATCCCCAAACTATATCGGTTGTTAAAGATGACATGGTATTTGAGAGCACTGTAGATTGTTGTTTAGTTTTGCAACTATCATGTGAAGTCAGCAAGGATTCCATATTCTGGATTATAGAGCAACTTTTTTGTATCCTAACCTTCATTGGTCTTAATTAGCAGGAGCCATGCTAAGCCTATGAGCCATTTGTATCCCTTATGGGCCTGACATAACCAATTTTGTTAGACATAATTGTGCTTGTGTATATATACTACTGTTTTTCAATTTGTGCACTCTTGTTTGCTTGGGGTACCATTTTTTATTACTACGAAAACACAGATAACGGACCAAATGCATTATTTTTTAGCTATATAGTAATGGCAGTAATAATGGAATGCTCTCTATGCGTCAGACGGTTGACATTGCACCGGAGAACTTGGAGGCCGACACTTCCTCATACCACTGCAGGTATGCTGTTGTTTGTGAAATGAAATCTGATGAATGGAACTGCAGATTCATTCTCTATGCCTGCCCAAATGATGAGCTCTGATTCATGTGTCTGCGCTTGTACAGTGTTGTCCGAGATTTGTCTCTAGAACAAATAGATCCATCCCTAGCTATTGGTTTTTACTGTCGCGACAAAGGTGAGCCGTTGTAGTTTCTCAGATGCCCATTCAGTCATTTTTTGAAGCTCTAATCTCGGTTTTCTATTTGCATCTTTTTATGCAGACGACTTTGATGATTTCTGTTCTCGGGCCTCTGAGTTGGCAGAGAAGGCCAATGGAGCGCCACTCTTTACTGTCGTGCAGTCAATCGAGCCATCAAAGCAAATGTATAAACAAGATGATGGGCTGGGTTGTTCTGGCAGTAGCATGGGCAACGACGACCTTGATGGCTCTGGTGAAGCAGAGGAGTGGCAGATCCTCTAAACGAGGCGAACACCGATGACATGTTGGGCTGAAAAACTTGCATCGAACACGTTGTCTGAATTGCCTCGTTTGCGTGTTAATACAGGGGATTATTTGTGATCACAGGGTGTCGTTGGGTGCCAACGTCCCTTAGGAGGAAATGTTCAAAACGTGACAGGTGGAAATGTTCAAAACATACACTTGTGGATGATCATAACTAAATGTATTTATTGTTCCATATTCTAACACCATTTCACCATGGTGTGCTCGCTTTTCAATTGATTGCTAGAGTTGCACCTGCCAAAATGTTTGTGGTGTTGGGATGTTACATTTGCAATGCCAACATCTCGCCATTTAAACAGGGCGAACCATTTTTGGTCTGAATTTTGAACTGGTTGCTGGAGAGTTAACATTTGCATCTGCCAAAAAATTGTGTGTTGTGGGGGCAGTACTATACTATACATTTGCAACACTGCCCTGAAACTTTGAGTCGCCTGTCTGTAACAGAAGTCACTGCGAAGAAAGGCACAAAACTGGCGTGCAAGCACGTAAAAGGGTTACGAAAAGAACAAGTTCATGGCCGAGCATGGCTGAGCACGAACCTGTAAGGCTGTGTAACCCATAGCCAAAGAAAGGCATCCATGTCAAATTGAAGCTGCAGAAGAACAGTCATCTTGCTCCGGCATCACGCAACAGCATAGTCTGATATGGTGGTCATGGCACCGGTGCTCTGCCCAGCTCTCCCCCTCTTTAAAAATTGCAACCTGCAAGCCATTCTCTCGCCGTCTCACAAGTACTGTAGTAGAGTGCTGCTGGTGACAGTAACCTCTAGTAGTTGTAGCCAGTAGGTGGCAACAGCCAAGCTAGCCACGCTGACACTGTGCACCGTCTTGCTCCAGGTCCTCCCAACGCTGCTCTTGGTCTCTGCCATCACAGGTAAAAATCATGGCACTCTGATGATGCTACTCGTCGAGCTCTGTCTTTCATCTTGACACCATTTCAATTCGCGCAGGCGCGGACGCCGGCGGCATCGGCGTCAACTACGGCACGCGGGGCACGACGCTCCCGGCGCCAGCCGACGTGGCGCGGTTCCTGGCCCGGGACACCATCGTGGACCGCGTCAGGCTGTTCGACGCCGACCCGGTCCTGCTTCAGGCCTTCGCCGGCACGGGCCTCGCCGTGGACGTGACGGTGCCCAACGGCGTCGTCCCGCGCCTCGTGAGCCTGGCCTTCGCGCGGCGCTGGGTGCGCGACAACGTGGTGCCCTACGCGGGCGCCACTAACATCTCGCGGCTCCTGGTCGGCAACGAGGTGACCACCGAGGCCAACCAGACGCTGCTCCTCGCGCTGGTGCCGGCCATGCAGAACCTGAACACCGCTCTGGTCGCCGCGTCCCTGCACGGCCGGGTCAAGGTCTCCACCACGCACTCGCTCGGGTTGCTCACCACCACGGAGCAGCCGTCGGCGGCGCGGTTCCGCGACGGCTACGACACGGCCATCGTGAGGCCGATGCTCAGGTTCCTCCGCGCGACGGGCGCGCCGTTCATGGTGAACGCGTACCCGTTCTACGGGCTCACCAACGACAGTAGTAGCAGCCTCGACTTCGCGCTGTTCCGGGTGAACGACGGCGTCATGGACCAGGGCTCCGGGCTGGTGTACGGCAACATGCTGGACGCGCAGCTTGACGCCGTGCACTCGGCCGTCAGGCGGCTGGGCTTCGGGGACATCGACATCGTCGTGTCGGAGACCGGGTGGCCGTCGGCCGGGGAGGACTGGGAGGTAGGCGTCGGCGTCGGCGCCGACCTCGCCCGGGACTACAACAAGAACGCCATCCGGCACCTCGGCTCCGGCGTCGGCACGCTGTTCATGCCCAGGGGCAGAGCAGTGGGAAGTTCCTTCATAAAAATAGTATAAAAAGGCCATTAGCCCACCCCGAGGAGAAGTCAGCCCAGCAACTGGCCGTCACCCTAGCCCGGCTCCCGTTCGCACAATCACACTTGGCCGGCTCCTGGCCGCCTCCCTTCCCGTCCGCCTTCAACCTCGCCCTCCCGTCCCAACTCCCGCCCGCCCTAAGCCCCCAAGTCCCTGGCTCCCCGGCGGCCGCGTGCCACCACCCGCGGCCCCCACGCCCCGCCAGACCAGTCGCCGCTGACGACCGCCTCACCGGTCAGCCCCTCACCGCTCACCCCCGCCGCCTTGCCGCCGCCATGGCGGCATGCCCATACGCCCCATCCCGTCCCCTGCTGAAATTGCTCACCATCGCAGCAGTCGATGACAAATGCCATTTCTTTTTGAAATTGCTCCATGATTGCTACCTTTTACATTGCAAAGTAATGAATATTTCATTTCATTGATTGAGCAGGACTGTCATTGAGTATTTGAGTCTTAGTTTGCAATTGCAACATTTCATACCTTAAAATGGAGAAATACTATGCTAAAAAGAGTAGTGCCGAAACTATAGAGAGCCGGGTTGAGCAAAAAAGATCACGGATTGAATTTGATATGAGAGATATAGTTGCTGATCCAGGAGACAGAAAGCCAATTGATGATTTTCATCATGACATTAGGGATGAGGCAAGGGGAGCATATCTACAAATAGGTCCATATAGGCCAGCTGGTCATAAGTTTCCAAAAACGAAAAAAGATGGTAAAGGCCAATCAAGAGGATTTGTTGGATCATGGTTTGATCAATTTGATTAGTTAGAGTACAGTGTAGCCAAGGATGCAACTTATTGTTTTTATTGCTATTTCTTTAAGCCACAACAAGCTGGGTTTTATAGTAATGATACATTCACCAAAGTTGGGTTTAGAAATTGGAAGAATGCAAATGATTCTTTCAAGGAGCATGCTCAATCAATTGATGGCTTTTATAGTAATGCAAGAAAGCGTGCACTTGATTTCAAAAATCAGAGGCAAAGTGTTGAACATGTGTAGACTGTTACAAGTGCAGCAGAAGAGGAGGCATATAAAGCTCGTTTAACTATCATGTTAGGCATTGCTAGATTTCTCCTTTTGTAAGCTCTAGCCTTTCGTGGACATGATGAGTCTAAAACATCAAGAAATAAAAGGAACTTTATGGAGATACTTGAATGATACAGAAAGAAGGATCCTAAGGCTGCACTTGTGACCGATGAAAATGCTCCAGGGAATAATCAAATGAGTAGTCCAATGGTTCAGAAAGATTTGGCTAGGGCTTGTGCAGTGGAGACAAGTGAGTTAATTAAAAGTGAAATAGGAGATCGTTGGTTTGCGGTGCTTGTTGATGAGGCTCGTGATGCATCTATTAAGGATCAAATGGTTGTGGTTGTGAGGTATATACCTCCTCTCCATTTGGTTATTTCGTTGGTTTTGTTTTATTGCTTTCAAGTAACACTATTTTCTCCTTTCTCTTGTAGGTTTGTCAATGATTAATGATAAAGGAAGTGTGATTGAGAGGTTTCTTGACATTGAACATGTTTCTGACACCACATCACCTTCGCTAAAAGAAGCATTGGATACTATGGTTAGAAGATATAGTCTATCTATTTCCAAAATTAGAGGGCAAGGATATGATGGAGCTTCAAATATGATAAGACAATTTCATAGGTTACAAAGACTGGCATTGAATGAAAACCCATATGCCTTTTACATCCACTGTTTTGCTAATCAATTGCAGCTTGTGGTAGTTTCTGTAGCCAAGTGTTGTGGCTCCACTTTTGATTTCTTCAATTATGTCACTCCAATCGTCAATATTGTTAGTGCTTCTTGCAAGAGGAAAGATCAACTCCTTCAAAGTCACCATGATAAGCTTGTTGAGCTGTTAGATAGTGGTGCTATTTTTCCTAGGAGAGAGAAAAATCAAGAAACTAGTCTTGCTAGGTCTGGTGATACACGGTGGGGTTTACATCACAAAACATTGGCACGTCTTATGATCATGTGGTCCTCTGTACCGGAGGTGTTAGAGAATATTAGTGAAGATGCAATTGATGGAGAAAAGAAAACTACATCCTCTGGATTGATTCAAAGAATTAAGTCATTTGAATTTGTGTTCATATTACATCTTATGATTAAAGTATTGGGGATGACTCAAGACCTGTCAAAATGTTTGCAAAAAAAATTAAAACATTGTTCGTGCAATAGGATTAATTGGCTCTGTGATGAGAAATATGAATGAAATGAGGGAAAATGGTTGAGATGCTCTTTTTAAGAGGTAAAGGAGTTGTGCCTCCTCAACAATATAGACATTCCTAATATGGAAGATATGATACCAGTTAGAGGTCGTTTGAGATGTCGTGGTGCTAAATTAGTGAGTTACTACCATCATTTTCATCATGGAATTTTCAATGTTATGATTGATCAAGTTTATTGTGAGTTAAACAATCGATTTCCAGAAAGATCAACTCAACTCTTGAGATGTGTTGCTTGTCTTGATCCGAGGGATTCTTTTGCCAATTTTGAGGTACAGAAGTTAGTTGAGCTTGCTAAGATTTATAAAGATGACTTCTGTGATTATGACTGCATAAAGCTTGCGGGCGACCTTCGTATATTCATTGATGAAGTCAGAAATGATGATAATTTTGACCCTTGTACTGATCTTGGTAACCTTGTTGAGAAGATGGTTGAGACTAAAAGATATACAACTTTTTCTTTGGTGTATCGTCTCATTGAACTTGCATTGATTTTGCCGGTGGCAACAGCAATAGTTGAAAAAGCCTTCTCTGCTATGAATATTATCAAGACCGAACGAAGAAATAAAATGAATGATGATTGGCTGAATAGTAGCATGATGTGCTATATTGAGTGGGATTTATTTGCGTCGATTGAAAATGAAAAATTTTAAAGCGCTTTCGATGCTTAAGAAACCGTAAGATGAATTTGCCAAACGAGGGCTCAAGGTGCGTGTCGTTTACTTGTATTAGTCTATTTCAATACATAATGTTATCTTGCTTTATAAAGGGCTGTGAGATGTTGAAAATTTTTATATAGAATTGAGGATGTCGGTACAAGTGGAAGTGGTGTTAAATCATGAAGACTCTTAATTTGGTACTTTTCTATCTTCAATGTTTTACGTATTGTTTGAGTCTATTGGTTGAATATTTGGAAACTAGAGAATTATATAATTATTTGTGTTCTTTGAAAAATATGTTATATCTAATAGTGTAGTTAGCCCGGGGCGGAGCCCGTTTCTGGATCCGCCACTGCTCATGTCCAACCACACCTTCGAGGTTTCCATCTTCTCCCTCCTCGACGAGAACCTCAAGCCCGGGCCGGTGTCGGAGAGGAACTTCGGCCTGTTCCACGACGACGTGACGCCGGTCTACGACGTCGGCATCTTTACAGATCCGGAGGTACGTGTGTGTACGGTATGGTCACCATGAACGATTCTTCAGTTCGTCGTTCCACAGTGATCTTGAGCCGGCGAATGTATCGGTCCATGCACGCAGACCCTTGAGCCGGTGAGCGCGAAGGTGACGCCCGCGCTGAGCTCGCCGGGAGCGGCGGGTGGGCGCCGGCAATGGTGCGTGCCGGAACCGGCGGCGGACGAGATGGTGCTGCAGGAGAACATCGACTTCGCGTGCGGCCAAGAGGGTGTCGACTGTGCCGCGATCCGACCGGGCGGCGTCTGCTACGAGCCGGACACGGTGCAGGGCCACGCGGCGTACGCCATGAACCTCTACTTCCAGTCCAACGCCCAGCATGCGTACGACTGTGACTTGGACAAACCGGCGTTGTTACCACTGCTGATCCCAGTAAGATCGATCTTCTTCCGATCCGTCGATGGTCTTCAGTTTTTTTTCCTTTTTATATACTTTGTTAGTAAAAAAGAAAACTTTTGGCACATGCATGATCAACTCTATAGATTCAATATATCTTTACCTGCGGCATTTTTACCGTTGCAGGTTATGGAGGCTGCAAATTCATGTGAACAAGGACGGTTAGACATACTCGGCATGTTCGCTAGTTGGTTTCGGCCAGTGCTTATCAGCCATGATATAGTATTTTTCTCTCATAATAAACCAGCACCAGTCAGATTTATCAGTCCAGAAACCAACAAGCGAACAGGCTGACTATCTTAGAATAAGCTCGTTAGTTTATATATATATATATATATATATATATATATATATATATATATATATATATATATATGTTTGATTTGAAGTGTATTATGGTGAGCTAGTTATAGTGGTAGGTTTAACGAATATACAAATTATTAGTCAAAAGAATATACCACGACTAGTGGCGGTGGGCCGTGACCACACTAATTAGCGAACATTCAATCGATTATTGTTCGATGAACGTTCGGACATCCTCCCACTCTTTTCCATTTTTATAGTTGACTAGTGATTTGTGCGCGCCCATGTGCGCGAGAAATGGCCAAAAATCTATCTAGAAAATAGCACAATGCTGACAAATAACGAATATTATAGGCGCCTAACTAAAATTGAGTCACCTAACTGGCAGCTGTAATTATCAACGATGATGAGGTATGTTTTCTTAGAAACAAACGATGAAGAACACAACAGCGAGCATATATTATACGAAACATGAAGTTTGCCGTGGTAGCTGTTAGATATTATGGGCTTGGCCCATTTATTTAATAACTCTATTAAACTCTATGGTCCGTACATGTGCATTAATGGTTTTATACCATATGGGAATTTAATCGAGAGGCGACTCTACTTAAATACTTGGTTATTGGCCGATCTATTTGAGAAGTAAAAGTGGATCACCTGGATGCCACATCGCTGCAGCTTGCCGCTGCGCGCCGCCGCCAAGACGGCCGCCCGAGCCCGTCCTGCGTCTTGCGTCGTGCGTGGCGTGGCGGGCGAGCGAGGCGAGGCGCGAATGGGCGGCGCGAGCGGACGGGACGGGCGGCGAGGCCTTTATTTTTGAAATCGACGAATTGATAGGAATTGATTGGAGGAGTTTCGGTAACTCCGTGACTCCTGGCTCTCCGTCTCCGCCTCCCACCGCAGAAGGAGGTGTGACCCCTCGGTGCCATCGGCTTCTCGTTTTCTGGCCTCTGCCTATAAAACAAATCCTCTCCTCTCGGTTAAGCTCTCTTGGCGAAGTACACCACTTTCCAGCAGCACAAGTTCTTCCCGTTCCACCTCCGGCGAGCACCAGAGATGGAAGAGTAGGCCTCCGGAACGCGTCTCCGTCGTGGGCTTCACCTGCTCGGGTGAAGACGGGCGATTACGTTTTTGGGGAGTGTCAGTGCTGGCACGACTACTCGCTGGTGAACCAGTAGCGGTGTTTCTTCACGGCGTACGGCGTCCTTGTCTGCACTGCATCGAGCGGGACGACTACAACAACAAAGCACCACCATGGCCTTTCCTGGTGCGAGCGGCTCCGCCGCAGGGTATAATCTTCTTCATCCTCTTCTGAGTTTCATTATCAATATCATGATGTTCCTAGGCAATACTGCTTTCATATTCAACATGCTCTGTTTGGTTGATTTGGATGATTATGCTAGTACTGGTTTTCTAGTTCCTTTTATTTTTGTGATCATCATGATCTTGATATTTGAGAACACATCTTTTATATTTATAATCATGTCTGTGATGCTTCACTATGTAAAAAACTATGTTTCACATATGTTTTGGCTCTATAGTTTGTATTATCATCATGTTAACATTTGCCATGAATTGTTTCTGCTCTTCTTATTCATGACTTTACTCTCCTTTTTGTTGCGTTATTTTTATGGATTAAAATAAATATGAAAATACCTTATTTTTCAACATTCCAAAAACGTAATTTCGTGCCATTTTCATCTGTTGGCTTTGCGGGCATGCTAAAGCCTCACGCCGTTTGAGGGCACTCACTACAAGAGGTGGCGTGAGAAAGCCCTTACATGGTTGTCGGCCATGCTACCGTGTGGTCATGTGCTCAATGAGCAGCTTTCTGCCATCTTGTGAGATCCGATGAGGATGAGCAAGCTTGGGGACATCTTGAGACCATGTGCAAGGCTGCACTTGTTGAGCATCATCAATGATTCTTTGGTTGATGCCTACATACCACTCCCGATGGCGTAGCTGTGGGGAAGCCCTTGAGGCCCGATGACGGTCTTTTCCGACGCCGGTTACGAAGTCAGTACATCATGGAGCAGTTCCATGACTACAAGATGGTTGATAACCGCCCCGTAGTCGAACAGTGCTCATGAGATCTGAGGACCGTGAAGGAATTAGAGTCTGTCTGGCTGTCCTCTCCTCACAGTGTTCGTGGCGGGGTGCATTATTGCTAAGCGCCACCTTCTGGACTGATTTTGCTACTACCTTGAAACACAAGAGGCAACAGTTTAGCATTGCTGAACTTGTTGGCACTCTTGATGTTGAGGACAAGGCAAGAGCAAAGGATGTTAAGGGAAAGAGTAAGGGCGGAAATGGTGAGGCGACTACTAGTGCACATGTGGTGCAAAAGTTTCGTCCCTAAGCCACAAAAGAAGAAGCCTCAAAGCAGGAGCTCAAGCGAAATCCACTACCTTCTTCAAGAAAGGTAATAATAAGAAGATGGGATTAGACAAGGCAAAGATGAACTGCTTCACTTGTGGGAACACTTTGGGCACTTCTCTAGAGAGTGTCCACGAGGCTAAGTGGAAGCCTCCACCAAAGGCGAAGACAGTCAACACCATTGAGACCGATGCGGGCGCTTACGGGTACGTGTAATTTATCTCGCATTTACAGTTTGTTCATCACCCGATTGGTGGGTTGATACAGTGCAAATATACATGTGTGTGGTGATAAGTCCTTGTTTTCTTTTTACCGCACCGAGAGGAGTGGAGCCTTGCCGATGGGGAATGGCGCGCGTCTTTGGTGTTCATGGTGTTGGTACGGTGGATCTGAAGCTTACTTGGGAAGACCGTGCAACTCAAGAACGTGCATCATGTCCCCTCAATAAGGAAAAATCTTATTAGTGGCTCTCTCGCTATGTCGAGACGGTTTTAAACTTGTGTTTGAGTCGAATAAATGTGTTATGTCAAAGTATGGAACCTTTGTTGGAAAAGGCTATGAGAGCGGAGGCTTGTTCCGCTTGTCTTTGGTTGATACTTTACCTCTTGCGTTGAATAATGTCGTTAATAACGTTAATGTTGAGATGAATGTTTGGCATTCTCGATTATGTCATGTTAATCTTGGTTGCATGTCCCGCTTAGCTGTTTTGAATTTAATTCCTAAATTTGACGTTGCCAAAAGCTCCAAATGTCATACATGCGTTGAGGCAAAACAACCTCGCAAGCCTCACAAGGCAGCTGTGGCGAGAGAGTTGGCACCACTTGAACTCATCCATTCCGATATTTGTGAAATGAATAGAATTTTGACAAAAGGTGGTAAGAGATACTTCATAACGTTCATAGATGATTGCACTCGATATTGCTATGTGTACCTAATTAAAACAAAAGATGAGGCATTACATTATTTTAAAACCTTTAAAAGTCGAGGTTTGAGAATCAACTTGAAAAGCACATCAAACGGTTATGGTCCGATCATGCGGGAGAATATTTCTCTAATGAATTTTACGAGTTTTATGCTGTGCACGGTATAATTCATGAGAGGACACCTCCATACTCACCACAATCCAATGGGATTGTTTGAAAGAAAGAACCGTACTCTAACCGACTTGGTGAATGCCATGTTGGAGACAGCTGGTTTATCTAAGGAATGGTGGGGTGAGGCAATTTTAACTGCGAATCATGTCCTAAATAGAGTGCCCACAAAGAACAAAGAAATCACTCCATTTGAGGATTGGGAGAAAAAGAGATTAAATATTTCTTATCTTCGCGTTTGGGGTTATTTGGCCAAAGTGAACGTGCCAATAAACAAAAAGCGAAAGCTTGGACCAAAAACTGTAGATTGTGTTTTCTTAGGCTATGCCATTCATAGTGTGGGCTATCGTTTTTTAATAATAAATTCTAGTGCTCTGATATGGTCATTGGAGCGGTCATGGAGTCTAGAGATGCCACGTTCTTTGAGAATGAATTTCCAATGAAAATAGGTGCATCTAGCATGTCCGGTCATAATCCTATTCCCGAACTTCATGAATCAAATATACACGCAGTGATAATAACACCAATGAGCTTGAGCAAAATCACGAGGAGGATGATAATACTGCACTCGAAAGAGTAAGAGGCAAAGAGTTGCAAAATCCTTTGGAGAAGACTTTATTATATATCTCGTGGATGACACTCCCACAACCATTTCGAGGCATACTCTTCTCCCGATTCTCGACATGTGGAAGGAGGCGATTAAAAGTGAGATGGACTCCATTATGTCCAATGGAACGTGGGAAGTGGTTGATCGTCCATTTGGTTGCAAACCCGTAAAATTTGTAAATGGGTGTTTAAAAGGAAGCCGAGGCCTGATGGTACAATTGAGAAGTACAAAGCTAGGCTTGTTGCTAAGGGTTATACACGAAGGAAGGTGAAGATTACTTTGATACTTACTCACCACATTGCTCGATTGACGACCATTCGTGTGTTGCTATCCCTGGCTGCCTCACATGGTCTTATCATTCATTAGATGGATGTTAAGACAGCCTTCCTAAATGAAGAGCTTGAGGAAGAGATCTACATGGATCAGCCTGATGGGTTTATTGCAAATGGTCAAGAGGGTAAAGTTTGTAAGTTATTGAAGTCCTCAGACGGCTTAAAGCAAGCCCCCAAGCGAAGGGCATGAGAAGTTTGATAAAACCTTAACATCAGCCGGCTTTGTTGTGAATGAAGCTGATAAATGTGTATATTATCGGTTTGGTGGTGGTGATGGTGTGATACTATGCCTATATGTGGATGATATATTAATATTTGGCAACAATCTAAATGTGATTAAAGAAGTAAAAGAATTTTTGTCGAGTAACTTTGAGATGAAAGACTTAGGAGAGGCTGATGTTATTCTCAACATTAAGCTTTCAAGGGAGGAAGGAAATGGTGGGGTAACTCTTATGCA